ATCCTATAGCTCCTTAGGCTGCCAGGGCTGAACAGAAACCACACATAGTCATAGCCTCCACAGGTAGCTGAGTAGCTTCCCATCTTCTAGGCTCCATCTTCTAGGCTCAAGATCTGGGGTTCGAGCAGGGGCCTAAATGGCCCTGAATGCTCCTTGAAAACCAGGCCATACCTGGAACCCAGGGGAGAGAAGGCAGTGGAGTTTCGGGGTCACACAGGTGATTTCGGCCAGGTGATTTTGGCCATCCCTTGTTCCATCCCTCTAGCTCTGAGGCTAGAATTCCCTGAGTAAGGACTCTACTCCCCCAGGTCAAGTCGAAGGTCCAGGTGTCCTACCAGAGCTCCTACTTGAAATAACTCCCCTCTGAAAGCCCTCCTCACTACTAGCTATGGAGATACTGGGCCCAATACTCAGGGCCTCACTGCCATGTCCACAGGAAGAAACAACCCAAAGCCAGCTCAAAACAAAGCAACCAGTCTTCCAGCACAGGTCTTCCAAGACCAGAATAAGGACACATTCTATACAGGGAAATGAAGTCAGGGGGGCTGTTTTCCACAGATCAACAGCAGGTCCTGTCATTGTGTTATTCATCTGTCCTACACAGTGGGAAGGGCAAGGGAAACATCTGGGGAAAGCGGCAGTTTAACAGCAAGGAAGGTGTCACAGCACCAGGGTGGCTGCAATAACAAGGGCCAGGCAGCTGACCCTGGACTACACAGCAAGTTCCAGGTCAGTCTCAAAGAAGAAAATAAAAATTAAAGGAAAAAAAAAAAAGCAAAGACCAGGCCTCAAGGTCACCCCAGGATGGTGGGCTCTGCTGAGTCGTACCTTGTCCCCATCTGCCTACCGGAGTGGGCACAGAGAGCTGACTGCGGGCTAATGGCTCCTGGTTCCAGTCTGGGCTCAGAGCCAAGGACAGATGCAGAGGGAAAGAGAAGCTACTGTGCCAGCCAGAAAGAGCTGCCCAGCCTGATGAGGAGTCACACTTCCTATCCCTCCCCTGACGCTGCTGCTCAAGCAACCCCAAATACAAATTGCCCACAACCAAAAGAGATGAAGTTTGTGAGTCTTAATGCCGCATTTGGGTACAGCCACACTGGCTCCACTCCAGGCCTGGGGTTCAAGTAGGGGCCTAAGTGGCCCCAACTGCTCCTTGAAAACCAGGCCATATACCTGGACCCCAGGGGAGAGAAGGCAGTGGGGGTATGTGGTCATGCAGGAGGTTTCCAAGCTAAAGGATGAAAAGAAGCCCTCAGAGACCCTCCCAACTGCCTAGTGTGGTGGCTCACGCCTGTAATACTAGCACCTGGAAGTCAGGAATATCAGTTCAAATGGTCATGACCAGTCACAGAGAACCTCTGACCTCAGACCTCTACAACTACAGGCCTCCCTGGACTTCCTTCACAAAAACAAAACAAACAAAAATAAAAGTCCCTGGGGAGGGACTGACAAAGTAGCCTGACCTTGGGCCTGGCAGGTTTAGTCTATGATGAAAGAAGACAACTGGTCACACCTGACAAACCCACACTCATGGCTTTGCCATGACTTTTTCAGAGGACCAGCCTCTACCATTGGTCCAATGGGCTTCTACACTCTAGGCCTCAGGGTGATGACCAAGTCAAGAGAAGGCAAATGTGGGGCTTAATACAGCAGAATGGTGCTGTGCCCTCCCATCTCCCAATGCATGAACTGACCAGCACTCCCCGGGGAACCAGCAGCAGGTCTCTCCAACCCAAACAGCTCCATGGCAAACTCCCTAGATTCCCACTCTGAAACTTGCTTCTTTATCATTCCCCTCTTCTGAGTTGTTAAGGGTCATTCCCCTGTAGTAAAAGCCACATCCACAACAGTAAATCCAGAGGAGTCCAAGTGACCCCAAAGAGCACTAATCACTACCACTCCATCTCTGTCCTAGGAGCCAGGGAGGCAAACTAGTACCCACTGGGCAGTACTGGGAGGGTTGCTGGGGGAAAAAAAGCTGAAAGGAAGCAGCATCTTGGGATGTTCCCAGCCGTAGCATCAAGATGGTAGTACAGGATTCTCGAGACAGGAAGTGGCACTATTCAAGTGCCATGTGCACCATGTTTTTTGAGAACTTCCCTCTTCAAAAGTGGTGAATGTAGCTCAGTGGTACAGTGCTTACCTAGCATACACTGGGTCCAAGTTCAATCCCCAGTATGAGGGTGAAGGGAATTTCCTCTTTGATTATTTGGAAATTCTCACCTTGCAGAGTAACTCAAGGAGAAGGGACCTTCAGGGACCTCTGGGGTAGCTAGAACCTCAGCACAAGAAGCCAGGTTCCAGAGCAACCTCAACCCTACCTGTAAGGGAGGAAATGGTTAAGGAACCTGCCTGCTAATAAATCACAGAACTGGAATGAATCTATCTCCAGCTTTTCTAGCACTGTGCCAGCATGTGCTCCCCCAAGGCATGGGCAGCTCGAAGCAAGACTGCCAGGGAGGGTTATAGTGCCATCAGCTACCTGGAGTCTGGCTTTAAGACCATGGATGTCTCCCAGGTGCAGCCCAAGTTCAAAGGCTTGCAGAGAGTTACAGAAAGTCAACTCATTTGGGTGGGAACTCTGACATTCTTCTGTTACCACCCATGGTCCTGAGGCTGTCCAAGATTTGTAAGTTCTTTAACTAGGTCCTCCCTCATCACATAAGCACTTCTTCCAAGGCAAGGGAACTTCTTCAAGATGTGGGCTGCCAGGTGGTGTCACTAAAATGTCCCTCCACCATCACTGCTGTTCACTAACCTTTACACACACCGTGAAGTGGGAACTTCACTAGTTTTTTCTGTATTGTCATTTTACCTCTCACATCAACCCTGAAAGTGTGAGTTTACCCACGTTACAGTGATGGGAACTGAGGCAACAAGAGTTTACCTGCCTTGCTGTAGTGTGGCACATTTGAGAATGGGATCTGTTCTGTGCAGCTCCCCAGTCTCCTCCTCTTAGCTACAAGCATGCCCTTTCCAAGTCAAGTTCTCTGGGTGATAGAGGACTACCACCCATCTCCCCTGAGACCAGCACAGCTGGCTTCTGGAGTTAAATGTGAATATGGTTCTTTTTCACCATCATCCAAAGCTGAGGATGATATCCCCTGGTCTTCTCTGACTAGGCTTTGTGCAGACTCATTGCCTCAGTGGCCCAAGCCAGGGTGCTACAGGAAATGCTACCAGGAATGACTATTGGAGCCTGAGGGTATGGAGCAGAGGTGGCAGCCCTTGCTCTCAGTCAGTGAGCAGACTATGAGGTCCAGTGAACTAGAGAAACAGGCCAACGGCACAAACTTTTCCGCTGCCCAACCTAAGTGTACCGCCCCCTACCCTATCCAACTTTATAAATAACCCAGGTCACTGTAACAGAGGAAAGGTAGCCAAGGTAGGTGTGAAGTGATGATTGTGGAAAAGACGACTTCTGAAAGTAAATTAAGGCTGCCATTCAGATCAAGGGATTGCAAGTCAAATTCTCCCAGGAGCACTGTTCTTGGCTGAAAACAGGCCCACCTGGACCTGCAGGCTGGGTCAGCTCCTCTAAGCAAGATCTAAAGCCAAAAGGAAAGCAAAGGCAGGAACTGGGGGGGGGGGGGGGAGCGAAAGCTGGGGGGGGGGGGGAATCAACCCTTCTCCTTGCAAGCTAAAGGTTTTTTTTCTTTCCTATCCCCTTTAGTCCACCCTCCCCCTAATACATACACCACATGTCATCTGCCAGTCTAGTTGAATAGTGAAGGGGTGATGTGAAAGAGAAGAGGTTAAGAGCTCAGAAGAGAACATTCCAACCTACACCTAGCCCTTGGTCTGGCTGGGCTAGGAAGGAGGGAGAGGACACACAGAGGGAGGAAAAGCACAAAACAAGGTCCAAGCTATACCACATGATCCCACACCCAGCAACCAAACAGCAAGTCATGAGGGAAGGAGGGAGAAGCCAGCAGAGCGGAGATGGAGTCAGGTCAAAGCCCTGCCTGGAACCAGCCCTGTGCTTTCCCACCCTGCCAAGAAGGCCCTGCCCTAGCCATGTTCTATTCAAATCTGGCTTTCCCTTAGGTCTGCAACAGGCTGAAGATGCATTCTCCAGCAAACCTTCCTCAATTTACTGAGTTCATGCTATGACCCCAGCAAACCTTTCCAGTAGCACTCCTATGTAGGACACCTACTCAGTTCCCATTCACTTCCTGACCCCACCTAGAAGGCTTCGAACTTAATCACTCCAGTGAGCCACAGCAGGTGGTCAGCCCTGGAGACTGACTTTCAGATCAGCCCAAGCCCAAACAGGAAAAGGTGTTCCAAGTTTCTAAGGCTTCATCTTAACCCAGGGAAAGCCAAATGCCAACAAAATAAATTATTAAAACCCACTAGTCTTTCTGGAAGTGACTTGGAGAACTGCTGGGCAATAATGATTCGTCTGCCACACTCAGCAGGCAACCCCTTTGAAGGCCCAGGAAGTGTTTCCTTCCTTTACTTTTAGGAGGTTGTCCAGTCCTCAGTTCAGGGATCCTGAACACAGAATCAGGGAGTGTGTCTAGACGGTGGAGGGCATTCCAGAACAGGTAAAAGGTAGATGTCCTGCATAACCCCTAGATTTTCTGGGGTGTCTCCCTCCAGTCTTGCCCTGGAAGTAACACCTCACCTTCCAAACCCCAACAAGGTGAGATAGCCTCTCCACTCCCCTGCAAGCTGGGCACTTCCCAGTGCCTGTAGTTCCCTTAGGGGCCCCTAAGCTTCCCTTCTTAATTTCCCACAGACTGAGGGAAATGCCTAACTTTCCTTGACCAAGTACTCCTAACGCTTGGTTATTACTCCAGCTCCACCAAGCCTCCCATGCCCTACCAGCGCCCAAGCAATTTGGGAGACAGGGAAGGGATCCCAAAATAAGAGGAAACAACTAATATGTGGGCTTATGTCCTTGAGCGCGAGGAAAGGGGTCTGGATCTTCCACAAGCCCCTCCCATTTAGGCCTTCAACCGTTAGTATGCTCCCCCCTGGGGCCCCCGACTCACTGCGTGTGCTGGGCGCGGCCTGCTCGGAAGACTTCGTCCAGCCGCACGGTGGCCCTGCCCAGAAACTTGTCCACGCCGATGAGCGAGCGGTGCATGGTGGTGAGCACTAGCTCGCAGGCGGCGGCAGGACGGGAGGCCCAAGGCGCCGGACCCGCGTCCGCCTCCTGCGCCCGCAGCAGGTCGTCCAGGGCGCCGGGCGGTAGCTCGAAGGAGCATTCCTCGCACCATTCCGGGCAGCCCTGCGTCTTCTCCACCACCGAGGTGCTGTACTTCTCGCGGCCCACCTGGATCACCGTGTACGCGTCGCTGGTGCTGCCGGCGCCAGAGCTCTTGCCCCGCAGCCCACTGGCCCGCAGCACTGTCACCTGGACGTGCGTGGGCAGCCAGCGGGAGGGCCCGGTAGCTGGCTCCGAGTCCCGCACTAGGGCCATAACGGAGAACGAGGGCTGGCCAGGCCGGGCGCCGACGCCAGGACCGAGGGCAAACTTGGCAGCCGCGGAAGGCAGTCGGGAGCTCAGCGCAGCCTTTAGCACGCCGACCGCGGCAGGAGCGGGCTGGCCTGGGCCGAGCAGCCCGCCGCCCAGCCGCCAGCCCGCCTCCCAAGCCCGCGAGGCGACGTCACGCCCCGCCCTGGCCCCGCCCCTGGCCCGCCCCCGGCGCGACCGGCCTGCGGATGAGAGGATGCTGGGAGGTGCCCGGAGAGGGAGGGGCGGAGCGGCGAGGCCTCTGCAGGAGTGAGCCGAGCTTCCCGGTGGCCTCGAGGACCGACCCCCAAGTTGATACTGCGGTGCAGCAAAGGCACAGGGAGCAGGAGAGAGGAGAGCAGCAAGCTTCCGGAGGGATGTGGCCGCTGCAGGGACATGGGCGGGGCTTCCGCCGGGGCCCCGCCCAACGGCCTTGCCCACGAGCGGGTGGGGCAGTGCTGCAAGGCGCCCGGGATGGACGGGGCGGGGTGGGGCGGGGCCTCTTCGTGGTAGGCGGGCTTCCAAAGGACACCGCCCTCTTCCCGCGTGAGGGTACGCGTTGTTGCCAAATACTAGGAAAGGTGAGGGGCGGGCGCACGGCGGGGTGGGGCGGAGCGCGGCCTCTGCAGTGAAGTGGGCGGGGCTTTCCGCTGGACCCTTCCCCCCGAGTTGGACTGGCTAGAGCGACCGCATTAGGTTCCGAGGCTTGACCTTCCCACTGTGCCCCTCACGCCCTCCGGACACGTCCCTCTTCTCGGCGTGGGTTTGTGGGGTGATGTGACTACGGAGATCCCTTAAGTGGACACGTGTTCTTATTCTTCGGCCTGCCCATGCCGCTGTATATGTCCTAAAAACCCCAGCAGCTCCCGCATGACCGACCGGCACCGCAGTTTGCGGTGCTGCAACCTCCGCTGACACTGCGGCTGGATGAGCAGCCGCATCCGTGGCTCGTGAGTCACTTCGGGGCGCGCGGGGGGGGGGGCGGCTTCCAAACAATCACTGACACCTTTTTCTGTTTTGGTTTTTGAGATCAAGTTTTACACTGTAACCCAGGCTAGCCTCGAACACAACGCTCACCAGTCTTTAAAACTTTTTTTTGCAGTGTGGGGGATTGCACACAGAGCCTTTTGCGTGATAAGCAAGTATTCTACCACAGAGCTATATCTTCAGCCTTTGAACCCACTCTTTTTGTTGCTTGAGAGAGGGTTTCCCTGTAGCCCCAGCTGGCCTGAAACTCATTATGTAGACCAGGCTAGGCTCAATCTCACAGAGATGTGCGTGCCTCCGCCTCCTCAAAACTTGGAATAAAGGCGTATGCTACCATGCTCAGCAAGAAGAGTTACTGAAAAACAGTCTTTGTCGGGCCTGGTGGCACATTTCTTTAATCCCAGCATTCAGGAGGCAAAGGCAAGCAGATCTCTCTGAGTTCCAGGACAGCTGGGGCTATTGGGAGACCCTGTCTCAAAAAGACATAAATAATAAATAAGTAAATAAATAAATAAGTAAAAGGTTATCCCAGAAGCCCAAGGAGTGGAGAGGATTGGTTTTTTTCTTTCTTTCCTTTTTTCTTTCTTTTTGAAACAGGATCTCCCTGTAGCCCTAGCTGTCCTGGAACTCACTATGTAGACCAGACTGGCCTTGAACTCACAGATTCACCTGCCTCTGCCCAACCCAAGTGCTGGGATTAAAGGTGTATGGCTCCGCTCCCAGTCTTTTTTTGTATTTATCGTGTTTGTGTGAGTGTGTGTGTGTGTGTGTGTGTGTGTGTGTGTGTGTGTGCACTCACATGGGCCGTGGCACACAAGTAGAGCTCAAAGGAGTCGAATCTCTCCTACCACGTGGGTCATTGATCTCAGGTCCTCAGGCACCATGGCAAGCACCTTTACCCGCCTGCTCATGCTTTTTTTTTTTTTTTTCCTCAAACAGACAGAATCTCACTATGTAGTCCTGGCTGGCTGGAACTCACAGGGCTCCACCTGCCTCTACCTTTTGAATGTTGGAATTAAAAGCGTGCACCACTGTGCCTAGTCCTCTTTGAGACAAGGTCTTGTGTAGCCCAACCTGGTCTTAAAATCACTCTAAACTGGCCTCGAAATCCAGATCCTTCTGCGTCTCCCTCCCGAGTGCTAGGATTACAGACCTACACCAATTGCCATGCCCAGCTTCAATCCAGGGACATGTCTTTTTTGTTCTTTCTTAGGCAGGGCTTCATGTACACTTGCCTGCCTTTGAAATGGCTATGTAGCCAAGGATAACCTTTAGCTCCTGATTCTCCCACCTCCATCTTCCCAGTACTGAGATTATAGGCTTGAGCTACCACATCTGGTTTTGTGCTGCAAATCAAACCCAGAGCTTCAAGCATGCTAGGCTGGCACTCTTTCCAACTGAACTACTCACTCAGCCCCAAGGGAGATACCTCCTAAAGCTATTTGTGTTCATAGACCTCAGAGTGGACTCCACCTTATAGTATAAAATGCTTCTGCAGCTACATCTGGATTTATCAGGGCTGACCATTATCTACTGCCTTCCTGCTAAGATAGATATGTATTTTATCTGGCTCACACCCTCTCTCCTCCCTCAGTCTTGTATAGTAATCCAGTTGTTGTTCTTTCTATTGGATAGTTCATTGTAGGAGCCTTTATTTATTCCATATAGCCTGACCTTCCACTTTCCAGGTCATGTCCTGCACCAGAAACATGAAAGTGGGGCATCAGCAGACCAGGCAAAGTAGACCCATGGGAGCATCCTGCCTAAGCCCGTTCTGACAGCCTCCCACAGCAACTCTGTATGATCTATATTGACAGATAGATAATAGATAGATAGATGATAGATAGATAGATAGATAGATAGATAGATGATAGATAGATAGAGATGTGTGTGCATACATATGTGTGTGCATTCAGGCCTACAGGTACCACAGTGTGTGTATGTATGTAGGTCAGTGACAGCCTTCAGTGTCAGTCCTCACCTCCCACCTTTTTTGAGGTATGGTCTCTTTGTTGTTTGCCCCTGGACTCCCATACACTAAACTATCTGGCCTCAAGCTTCATGAGATTCTCCTAACTCCACCTTTCACCTTTCACATACAGAAGTGCACTACCATACTCAGCTTTACATGGGTTCTAAGCTTTTTTTTAATATTTTACTTATTATTTTTATTTTATGTGTATGAGTGTATTGCTTGCATGTACGTGAGTGCACCCGTGTTGTGCAATGCCGCGGAGGTCAGAAGAGGGCTTCAGACTCCCCTGGAACTGGAGTTAAGGATGGTTTGTAGCCGCCATGTGGGTGCTGGGAATCGAACCCGGGTCCTCTGCAAGAGCAGTCAGTGCTCTTAATCGCTAAGCCATCTCTCCAGCCCAGGTTCTAAGCTTTTGAAGTCAGGTCCTCATCCTTGCACAGCACCACTGAGCCACTTCCACTGTAACTTTTTGCTTAGAAGACTGGTGTGAGGAGTCCTGGGCCCCCATCCCCATAGATGACACACCCTTGAAGATAGCAAAAGCTTCCTGTTTTAGTTTGCTTTCTCCATTGCTGTGACAAAACACTCTGTCCTCTAGAGAAATGGCTCAGCATTTAAGAGCACTGGCTGTTCTTGTGGAGGACCCAGGCTTGATTCCCAGCATCCACATGCTGGCTAACAAAACACTCTGACCAATACCAACATAGGGAGGAAAGGGTTTATTTGGCTTACATCTCCCAGGTCACAGTTCATCAGGGAGTATTGGGGGCCTCTGTTATGTGAAGTAGAAGTCTCTTCATATCCGGATAGCTCACGAGCTCGGAGTTATGTGCTGAGACTCCTTTCATAGCAGCGTGCCTCCCTGGCATTTTTCCTGACTCTCCTTTTGAAGTGCCCGCCACAAATGCCATAACATAAACATGGCCTCTGGCTCTAGGAATACCATACTTTCCTGTGTGATTTTTCAGGTAGTAAGCAGCCTGGCAGCATGGCAGAAACCCACTTCCATATGCAAATAGAATGTCTCACAAAGTATCTATCAGCCAAAGCTTTTACCACTACCCCCATGGTATAAAAATATCCTAGCCTTCTCTTAATAGTGGGAGATCGGGTCAGAGACTGAGTCCCAGAGATTGGGTCCCAGAGAGAATAAAGCTGTAAGCACAGACTGAGCCGAGCCTTGAGTCTTGTGTACCGGTGACC